TCAGGCTGCTTTCAATTCCCCTTCATCCTCATTGAGCTGTTTTATGGGCAAGTTTTATGGCTGGCAAATGTTTCTCATGGTTGGGGCAATTGTGATTGGTGCATTACTTCGGAAGAGGCAATGGGAGATTATTACAAGTGAATCTCTAAGGGCAGGCGGCTCTGATTTAAATTTGGTTAAGAGAATTGAGAAGTTAGAGGAGGATGTTCGGAGCTGTGGTACATTCATACGGATGCTTTCTAGGCAGCTTGAGAAACTGGGGATCAGATTTAGAGTTACAAGAAAGGCATTGAAGGATCCCATATCCGAGGTTATCCTGTTTCTCCTCACTAGCAGTGTTATCTTTCTCATTTATTCTATGGCTTATAGTCCAATTTACATTAAGATATACATCTTTTGCACACCTAAAACTTCTTTCATAGGCATATATCTTGATTGGGTGAATTTTGTATGTTCTCTTCCTGGTCCGTAACATGTTGATATGGATGACTAAAAGATCAATTGCTACTTGCCAAAAATAAATAGTTTGCCGGCCCTTAATTGTTGGTGTCGGTCAGATTTCCTGTATGAATAGTTAACAATGCAAAGAATGCAGGAGATTATGATGACTGCCAAGTCACTTTGGTTGTCTAAGGGCTTATGAAGTAAGCATCATTTTGAATTGTCTTGGCCTTTTGCTTAAGTTGTTCACAGGTGTAACTAGTTTCTTCTGAAAATAAATCATATGCTGAGGATGTTAGAGTGCACTACACATGCTATAAGTTTCTCTTGCCTTGTTTTTACATTTCTAACCTTTCTGTAGTAGTAATATGCAAACTTGAGTTGTTTAGTTATAAATTATCCTTCCTTTCTACCAAAGTTGATGTTTAATTATAACTTAGATTTGTGCGAGCTTTTTCTTTTCTCTGTCTGAACAGCGGAATTCATGGTAATCAATGTTTTAAAGCAAGGCCTCAGATCGGAACTCGCTAGGATCCCAAGCCTGAGTTAGGCAACGGGACTTGGCAAGTCTGTCAGAGACTCGCCTGAGTCCTAAAGAAAAAAATTAACAATAAAACCTGATTCCCATGGCTTTGGTTCTGGAAGAACTCTAATCTATCATCACGGAAACGAAGTTTAACCTGCATGAGACATGCTTATCTGATTATTAGAGAATAGGAAGTGCATATCTGGATAGGGTACACCACTAATTGATTACTAAGGCTGATTTGTATGTCATGCTAGTGCCCCACTGCACCTGTGGGCCTTTTTTTTCCTTTGACTAGCTCAGTGGGTAGGATTCAAACTTCAGTTGTAGTGGGGCAAGCTATCATCTGTTTAGCCAAGCAAGCCCAAGCCACGCCCAAATCCTGATATTGTTTCCTCAAGCTTGCCTCCTAAAAACCTAATTGTGCTGACTTGCTTCCTAACATAACATGGCCCCTAGAAAGAATACCTAACTTCTTCTAACTCTTGCAACTTGAAGTGTCGAATGAATAGAGCTGGCCTACATTGGCTTCAGCAATAAAAGCTTTTATCCAATACTTAGAGGAACAAATTATATAAACAACCAACGCGTGCCTTGTCATAAAGGAGCTTGACAATCTATATTTCATTTTTGGACCAAGTTCATTTCGAGGGCTTTATTGTTAATGCAGCTATTGATCACTGCCCTTTGGTGTCAGCTGAGTTCTTACATTGGAATTGATGTTGCCATGTTCTGCATTCTGACATCAAGTTACCTCTAGATGTGGGACTGAAAATATATTTATTGGCACTATAAAAGTTGTGTATGTTTTCTCCATCTTATGGGGTGTTTTTGTCATTCATATTTTGTAAAGTATTTAGTCAGTATTCTCAGGAATATCTCAGACATTTCTATGCATAATGAAATATTGCGTGAAGAAAGTGCAGTCCTATTTTTGTTTCTGAAGGACTTAATCTTCATTGCTCATTAGCGCTAATTTGTATTTCAGTCCTTCAAAGGCCTTACTATGATTCTTGCCCACCTCTCCGCATGAGTCTCTTTTTTATTGGTTGTACTCAATTACTTATTCCTTGGTCTCAATCCAACTTTTACTAATAGAACTTGCTGGGCAAATAAGAGTGCACACTATAATTCTTGAAGAATGAGATTATAAAATGGTCATGTACAAGCATTAAAAGATTTTTGAGAGATTTTCGTGACGCACCAAATATGTTACGCATTTTAGAACTTCACACGAACATTCATGATGGATTGTATTTCATTCAATAGTTTAGGAGCCTTCGAGAATCCTCCTGCATTTATGCAAGCCTTCTTGGCCATTCCTTACTTTATATCTACAATAAGAGAGGATATTGTTTTAGACTAATCCAAATGACTATACGCTGCACATAAAGTATCTTGAAGTCTCCATTCCTTTCTAGTTTTATCTAAATGCTTTTTCTTCTATATTCCACTAGATAGTGTCAAGGCTGGTCCTTGTGGAATGTATTAGGGATATGAGGGCTTGCTAACTGACGCAGTATAAAATTTACGGCGAATACCACCCGACAATTTAACCGCTTTTTTGAGAGAGAAATACAAATGAGAAGGGAATCACAAGAAGAAAGAATAAAACATGTGGATCTGAGTAGTCCGGCACGTCCCACAAGCACAACAGGGGAAGAAGAAAAACCCACAAACAAGGTATTATCTCTCTCTCTAGCTGTCACGTACTGTAAAAGTACCAACTTTTATTCACGTAAAAAAAAACCTCCTTTACAAGTTCAACTCCCTTCCTTTTATACTACCTTCTCTCTTCTTTGATAAGATGAGGACATCACCCCAAATAAAGGACAAGAGTTATTTGACCTCATCCAAAAGCAACCTACCTAATTTATTTGAACCTATCCCTTTTATCTTTTGAAACTATCTACATGATAAAGAAAAGAACGAGGACGGACTCTAATGGATGGGCATTAATAAATGTACAGACTATTCAAAATAGGCTCATCTTTCCCAACTAAATACGGACTTTTCTAAAATTAGACTATCAACTCTTAAAAAACTCTAAAAAAGTAAATTATTAAAACTAAAAGCTTATCATTATTCCTTATTCTTCCGATCACGATGCGATCGCTCTAGATAGTCGAGCGCGATAATTTCGACCGCATCATCCTCCCCTAGTTGGAGAGAACTCGTCCTTGAGTTACGCTTTTCGTCGCTAGAAGTATCTCCTGCATAAGGAATTAAGTGCTTGACATGAAAAAATCAAAAGTATGCATGGCTTGGTAGCTTTAACTTGTAGGCATTGTCATTGATTTTCTTTGGAATTTCGCATGGCTAGAAGTATCTCCTGCATAAGGAATTAAGTGCTTGACTTTAAAAAATCAGAAGTATGCATGGCTTGGTAGCTTTAACTTGTAGGCATTGTCATTGATTTTCTTTGGAATTTTGCATGGCATGATCTTCCGATTACTGAGCTTGTTATACTCCCCACAGGATATCTGTCCTTGGTCAAAACAATCCACACATAATCTCCTACTTCGAACGCTTGTTTGCGACTATGCTTATCTACAACAACTTTGTAGTTTGCATTGCTGACTTCAATTTGCTTCTTAACCTGCTCATGAATGTCTTTGATTTGGTCAGCTAAATCTTCTGCCTTACCACTAAATTTCCCTGCATGAGATATAGGAGTCAAATCTTGCACACTGCCTAGATTATATCCATAGACAACTTCAAATGGACTCTTCTGAGTAGTTTGATTTTGGGACCTGTTGAAATCAAATTCAGCTTGAGGTAAAGCCAAATCCCACTGCTTCGACTTGTTTCCTATCAAACTGCACAATAAACTTCCCAAGCTCCTATTCACTACCTCTGTAGGCAATACAGTGTGCCATTTTAGAGAATCTGTCGACCACCACAAACACTGAATCCATGCCTCTCTGTGTTCTTGGTGACCCCAACACAAAATCCATACTGATATCCTCCCAAGGTGCAGATGGCATTAGTAGAGTATAGAGTCTAGTATTCTGCGCATTTCCTTTGGAGACTTGACAAATGTGGCATCTGTCTACAAATCTGTCAATATCATGCAACATTTTGGGAAAAAAATAATTCTTAGACACCAAGGCCATGGTTTTGTCACGACCAAAGGGGCCTTCATTATGTAACTTCCTAAGGATCTTGTCCCGTAGTGAGCAATCTGGTATAAATAGTCTCAGGCCTCTGAAGAGAAAACCATCATGCACAAAATAATCATCACTCTTTCTTGCTAAGACTTCAATAAAAATTGCTCCAAATTTAGAATCATCTTAGTACAACTCCTTGAAAGTATCAAACCCCACTACATTCATTTTCATAGTGGTAAGTAGCATGGCTCTCCTGCTCAAAGCATTAGCTACCTTATTATGGACACCTGCTTTATGTTTCAACGTGAAAGTAAACTCCTGCAAGTAAGACACCCATTTAGCATGCATTCTATTGAGTTTGTGCTGACCATTTATGTATTTAAGAGTTTCATGGTCCGAGTAAAGAATAAACTCTCTCTGCACCAAATAATGTTTGCAATTCCTCAGTGCTTGTACAATGACGTAAAGCTCAACATCATAAGTAGAATAATTAGCCTTGGACCCATTGAGCTTTTCACTATAGAATGCCACCGCTTTTCCTTCCTGACTTAACACAACACCAATACTAACTCCTGATGCATCACAATCAACTTCAATTTTTTTATCAAAGTTAGGTAATGCCAATACAGGTGCCTATAGCATTTTCTTCGTAATCAACTTGAAACTTTGCTCTGCTTTTGGAGTCCACTGAAATTTTCGCATTTTCAAACAATCTGTAACTGGTGAAATAAGTGCACTGAAATTTTTGATGAATCGCTTAAAAAAAGAAGCTGAACCATGAAAACTACGGATATCATGTATGCTGCACGGAGTAGGCCACTCAAATATAGCCTTTACCTTGGACTGATCTGCTTTCACCCCCCTAGAAGAAACAACAATACCCTATTGGGGTCCCAAGTTGGTCACCTATATACCCCACCAATTCCATATAATCCTTACTGGCGTATCAGATAGGTCCACTCATATCTCATCGGCATACCGGATGAGCCCACATAATCCCTGTACTGGGTAGATCCACTTATATCTCACCGGCGTACCAAATAAGTCCACTTAACCCCTAACGGCAAATCGGATAGGTCCACTTAATTCCTACCGGCGTACCAGATAGGTCCACTTATATCTCACCGACGTACCGGATGAGTCTACTTATTCCTTACCGGTGTACCCAGTAGGTCCACTTGTGTACTTAAAGTATCTTTGAAACTTTTTATTACTAAACATCAGGAAACAATA